CTGGAAGTGACAGTACTAAACTGGTAGCTTGAGAAATATTGAACAAGAAAAGAAAAGAAAAAAGTGTAGTTAGACCGATCTACCGTTCAATTATGTGGAGCTAGCGAGGTTACTAGTTGAATTGTTAAGAGAGAGAGCGAGACAGTGAAAGAAAGAGATATTGAGAGGAGGCTTTGGCGATTATTGGCATGCAAAAATCCGCAAAAGGACCACGCACACTGGCAACGGGCAGTTGCGTGCGTCGATCTCTGGGAGAGGCAGAGACCAGAGAAGACGCAGTGCACGGCGGATCAAGCGGCGCGTGAGAAAGAGATGACGGCAGTCAGTGTGACAGTGAGTGGGCGGAGTGCACGTGTGGCCAGAGTTTTCAGAGCGCCTGCATGCCGTGCCATGGACCTGATGACTGATCTCCCTCCGATCCGTGCTGCATCCGCAGTCTACAGTCCATCCGCCGGCCGGGGACCAGCGCAGAGATCTCCTCCTCCCCCGCGTCCGCGTCCTTTTCTATTTAAAGGTCAAACACTCAAACCCCTCGCGCATGGTGCATGCCTAGCCGACCGACTATCCCCTCGCACCCCTCCCTTCTCGTCGGCTCAGCTCGACGCCATTACAAACCACAAGAGAGCTACTAGCTGACGACGACACACGCACGCCTCTCCCTCCTATACATATACATACATCGTATAAATGTGAGCTGGTGGCTAGGTCAGGGACGATAGGCCGGACGACTGGGTCACGGAGATAGGGCATCCGGGACTGTAGCGGCCATCAGAGGCGTGCGCCATGTGTGCCCTGGAGGGAGGGAGCACCGCCATCAATGCCGGCTTCCAGTGACTGTATGCCTCCCCATTTGAACAGTTCAGTTCATCCAACAGAAATCAATTGCATGATGAGCCACACTCATCGATCCCGTGCGGCAAAATTCAGCAAGAGAGAACGAACACGCAAGAAATGCTTGCGAAATGATAGACAGATATATACAGCATACTACGATGAATGTGGTTTTGAGTTCTACGAGTGCATCATAGCATGTAGATCCAGAATGCAAATTGTGCTGTTGATAGTCACTACTACAAAAACGATTTTTAGCAACGAGGGCTTTTTTTTTAGGGCGGCTCTACTACCAACCGCCCCTACAATGGGTGAGCTCGGTCCCATGATTTCAGCCGCCCCTACAAATCTAATAGTAAGGGCGGTTGGTTATACGAGCCGCCCCTACAAATGGGTACATTTGTAGGGGCGGCTCATTCACCAGCCGCCTTCGGTGTTGTGATTTATAGAGACGGCTCAATCACCAACCGCCCCTACAGATGCTGCATGTATAAAAAGGTTGTAGTCTCCTTCCTCCTCCTCGGGTTGCTCACTCGCACCCCGCCTCCACCTGCTCGCTCCCTCCCACCCTCCGACGCCCTCCTCGCCTCCGCCGCCCTCCTCCTCGCCTTCCCCGCGCAGATCCGGACTCCTCCTCGCCACCGCCGGCCTCCTCCTCGCCTCCGTTGGCCTCCTCCTCACCTCCCCCGCCCTCCTCCTTGCCTCCACTGCGGCGGCGCGGAGCCCTGGCCGAGGCAGTGCACATGTGCTGGCTGGTGGCCGGCGGCAGATCCGGCCACAGCGGGCCTAGATCCGGTCCCCACCCCCACTCGGCAAGCGGAGGCTCGGAGAGGGGCCCGCCCGGAGCGACGGGATGTAACCGAGGCCGGAGGACGCCATGGAGGAGGTGGAGGCCGAGCTAGGGTTCTGGCTCGCGGCGCGGCGGCGGCTGACACCCGATGGCCCCTTCTGCGCCGCCGCTCGCCGCCTCCACTCGAGCCGGCAGCAACTCCATGCCTCGACATCGTCGCCCGCCACCTCGACATCATCGACGGCCCATGGGATTTTTGGACTTGTGGGATGGCGACTTGGCCCAACTGTGCTGCCTGCGTCCGCCGGGCCAAGCGCAATATAAGCAGCACTGCTCGCGGGCTTGCGCTGGGCAAAGCCCTAGCAGCGTCTCCTCTCCAGCGCCCACCACCACTGCGACCTCCTCTCGGTCCCGCCGTCCGTCGAGGTTAGTCTCCATGTCCCTTTCTCTCCCGTCCTCCCAAACGATATCAGATCCGGCCTTTGATTCGGTTTCGCGATGAGGTGGTAGAGCGTGTCAAGTGATGCGGATGAGGCTGGTGGAGGAGGACTACGGTGGCGTTGCGCGCGCGCCTCGTCGGCTTCATGATTTATCCCTGCCCCTCCTGCTGCTTTGACACGATCGTGTTGATTCCTGATGCTCTTGTCCGTTCCCATTTAGGCTGCTATCGTGTATTGGGTATGTTGTGTTTTTCCATGATCCGTGAAGCGTCCCTCTCTTGTAATGTTGTGTTCTGTTTATGCATTATCAGTGAAGCTTGTCTTGTAATTCTGATGTGCTAGCGTGATGGAAATCAATTCTTGGTTCTGGTCCAGGGAGGCTGGCTGTTAGTTTGTTAGTGAATAAGTACATCAGTCTGCAGGTGTTTGGTGCTGAGAGATCCCTCACTTTTTGAGTCTAAAGTTGGCAGCAATTTGGTGCTTGCTGATCAGCTGCGTAGGTGGTTTAGTGGTAGCTTAAACCCTATCCAAGACTGCTTAGAATAATATGAGTTGAGTTCTGGTAATTAGATGGTGCATTGTTCAAGGATTCTAGATCTTGTTGATCAAAGCAGTCTAATTGCAAACTAGATGATGAAGGGTGTGGAATACTCTGATTTTGATACTCTTAGACTTGTTGAGGTCTTACAGTCTAGCATTGTTTTACAGTCAAGCATTGTGTGTTTTAGTACTATTTCCAAGAAATAGTTTCAGGATAGGTAAATGCAACTGAATTGGTTTTCTGTATCTGAAATTTGCCTGTGAGATAGTAGTAAAAATAATAGGAAACGATCATCATGCCTCTGTTGGTCATGTTATGTTCTTCACTGGTTGTGTCGATTTTTTATCTAACGGCTCTTCTTGAAAATGTCAAATGCCCCTCTAGTGTAGCTGTGATTATTAGTATGTTTGATCCCTAAAGACAGGAGAACTTTCCTTCTACAGTGAACTATTTGTTAAAAATATTTCATTTATGTTTGGGAAGCAAATTGGTAGCTGCCGGGTACCTTGCAATAAATAAATTCCAATTTATACTGATTGTTTGTTTGCATTGCTCGTTAGTGAGGAATTGTTTCTGTCATTGACTGTTGGTTTCACTCCATACTGTCATCTGATTGTTTTATATAAGATTGTATTCTTGCATTCGATGCATATTTATAACCAATGAAATTGCACCATGCAGGTTTTACAAACCCTCACTGATGCTGCGGTTCCATCCAAAGATCTGATTTCTTTCATAAAGATCTTATATTCTAAAACAAAGGTTGTTGCTTGCTTTAAGAAAGCACGAAGTTCTTACTGACTAGTTATGTTCATTAATCATTATCCTTGTGCTCCCAGGTTCTGCCTGTGTTCCCCAGTATTGTTAATCTTCCAATAGACAAGTTTCAAAGTGCCATTTCCCGAACCTTGCAGGTTAGTCTTTGTCCTGTTATGACAATATGTGTTTGTTTGAGTCAATTTTTAGATGATTCTTTAATTGTGGTTTGAAAATGAAGCACTAGCTTGAGACTTGAGTTCATTTGGCTGAGACATAAATAGAACCTTACAAGTGTATTATTGTCCTGTTAAAGTTTTTTGAAACTTAAAGAACAAGTTTCTGTCACCTCTTTTAGGACTTGAACTTTTCAAGTAACTTATACTTAGATTTATGTTACTGATTCATTTCAGTCGAGCATTGCATACTAATCACACATCATCCTTTTTTACTGCAGGGATCACCTCGGAATGGCCCTTCGCTTGATCCATCAGAAATTGTAAGTATCTTTATGCCCTCCTTTTCCTACATGTTTTTTTTTTCTGGAAGCAGAACAGTGTACCGTTCTGAATTGTTGACAGGCATCTCTGAATTAGTGGACTGATGGAATATGGCTTCAGCGATTATAGAAGGGTGTCAGGCATGCATGCTGAGTTGCTGACCTGTTGATGAAAGTTCTGGCGGACATAGATTTGTGGATTGAATTTTGATAGATATTCTCATGCTGCCTTTTTTTGTCAGGCTAGGATTAGTCTGTAGATGTCAGCATAGGGCATAGTGTGCATTTCCAAACTGGTCTATCTGTAGCAAGCCAGCGTGTCAGCATATTGATAGCATCCGTTTTCAGATGAATATACGGATTAACGAGGAATGTAGGGAACTGTTGTAACAACCATGTTATTGTGATATTAAATGAAGTTCTGTAATCCATAATACTATGAGCCTTACCATTTACAGTTGAAAAAAAATGTAGCATAGGGGTTTCTTTTACGATGGAGTTGTGCATAAAAAATATATGTTCTGGTCGAATTTAAATTGTAAATTTAATTTTTTTTACGGAAAAAATATACTGTAGGGACGGTTCTAGACTGAATCGCCCTACAAATCGATTTATAGAGATGGTTGGTGTTTTCAGCCGTCCCTACAAATCGATTTGTAGAGACGATATGATAAGGACGGCCGGCCGAACCGTCACTACAAATGTCCATTAGCCACCCCTATCTAGAAGCAAGTATATATATGCCATGCGAGGAACCATATATGCTTGGGAGATTTTTTAGCTCAAATGTTATTATTAGCAAGCTAGGAAGCCATTAACATGGCTTCAAATCGTGCTTGCTTTACCAAGGATAATATATGTACATACGCATCAAATCATGAACACATAGTTGCACCGATTAATAATCAGCCCATTTCCCCTTCGGCTACTCCAAATTCTAGCCATATATATAATATTGACCTAGCTAATAAATCTGGAAGAAGAAAGATCCGAAAACAAGCTACAAAAAGGATGAAACCGCCGACAGAAAGAAAGATGCAAGAAGCATATGTGGAGCAAAAGTAGAATGAAAGCTCAAATCTTGCGATGCGGGAGACGGAGAAGATAATTAAACAAGATCTGCAGGTCTACTGTACTGTACTCTCAAGTGGTGCTCGGTGCAGCGCTACTCCCTCCGGCCTGAGCGGCGGACGCAGCTGCAGCCCTGCTGCTCCCGCTCCCGCTCCCTCCGGCAGCAGCGGACGAGCTCGTCGAAGGCTCCGCGGCGGCCTGCTGCGCGCGCTTGCGCTTCTTCTTCTCGTAGGGGATGCCGCGTGCCTTGGCCTGCGAGTCGCGCACCTCGCGGAGGTAGATCCGCACGGCGCGCGCGGCGAAGGGGTTGGACTCGGGCGTGCCGCCGCTCTCCTCGTACGCCGCGCGCAGGCGGCCGATGAGCGCGTCGAGGGAGCCCCACGCCTGGCGCAGCGGGCACGGGCACGGCCCCGGCGGGGCCGGCTGGCCGTAGTAGGCGCACCCGGCGGCGTGCACCTTGGTCTTGCCGAACTGGTCCAGGTACCTGAGGAACTCGATCACGTGCGCGCCGCTGCACCGCGCCAGCGTCAGCGGTGGCCGGTGGTTCCGCAGGTACTGCAGGAACGTGTTCCAGTCCCTCCGCTTCTGCGACTCGTACCTACTCAGCTGCGCCGGACGCTGCGGCGCCACGGCCGGTGCCTCACCGCCTGCTGCCCCCATGACCGACGACGGGCAAGGCCCGGAGGCCATGCAGGTCAGCAGGTGGAAAAGAGCTGGCGAGCGAGCGAGAGACTGACTGACTGAGTGGACAAGAAGGAAGAAGCGCAGCTGCGAGCTATACTAGCAGCTTGAGCTATCAATCGAGCAGGCGATCGCGATGAGTGGACGCGCACCAGGGCGCGGGGTGCGCTAAAGCAGAGAGAGATCTGGGGGCCGCGACGGGGTGGATCGAGATGCGACGTTGGAAAGAGAAGGGGAGCGGGGCAGCGGAGTCGGAGAGCGACGGGGAAACGGGAACGGGGAGGAAGGGGGATGAATGTCACTGGTGAGGTGTTGTGAGCGGAGGGAGGGGTGACCCGCGGGTGAGGCTGATGGGAGCTACGCCTACAAGACCCATTCACCTGGGTGGCCCCCACCCAGTGCCCAAAGAATCTGCATGTACCTACAGCACGTACCACCTATGGCGTGTATTATACGTAGTGCATGAGAGGTTGATAGTATAATATATGGCATATCATCTCTTAAACATATATGCTTCTCAGTCTCGTAATATAGTGTATTTAAACGTAACATTTAAAATTTTATATAAATATAAAAAATTTAGGGGACAAGAGATAGTTTTGCATTAGACAGTATCATAAATGTGTTGTCATCATCAAAAAATCCGGGTAGTGACGTACCGGCAGTGACGTGGGGTTGACATCACTGTTGATTCTTATGAACCGACACTGATGTGGTTTTTAGGAAATCCCAAAAACAGGCCGAAAAAATAAGGATTTTTTTCAATTTCGGAGAGGCCTCATTGCACAGCCACACGGTCGCGCATCGCAAGTCACAAGTCACAAGTCACAAGATTTTTCACGCGAAAACACACGATTCGTGGCCACCGGCACTCGAACCCCGGACCTCCTCCTCCGTGTCTTCAGCCCCTAACCACTTCACCTGCAATTTGTTTGTGTCCGAATGATATTTTCGTCCTAGCCATTTTATATTTATCTGATTTTAAATGAGTATTTGAGACCCTAAATGAATTCAAATTAAAAGGTTGTCAACTACAGAGTTTTATAACTTTTCGAGATCTACAACTTTCATTTTGTTAGTTTCTACATCTGAGGTCATTTACAAAATTTGAATTTCAAATTTAAGAAATTCAAACGTAGTTTTCCATGACAAGATGATTTCAAATCAAAAAGTTATCAACTACAAAGTTTCATAACTTTTTTAGAGATCTACAACTTTCATTTTTGCTATTTGTCCATCCGAGGTCATTTAAAAATTTCAAATTTCAAATTTTTTGAAATTCAAACATAGTTTTTCTTGACAAGATGATTTCAAATCAAAAAGTTATCAACTATAAAGTTCCATAACTTTTTGGGATCTACAACTTTTATTTTGATAGTTTCTCCATCTAAAATCGTTTATAAAATTTGAATTTCAAATTTTAGAAATTCAAACGTAGTTTTTCTTGACAAGATGATTTCAAATCAAAAATTTGTAAACTACATAGTTTCGTAACTTTCCGAGATTTATAAATTTTATTTTAGTCATTTGATCATTTATTCATCCGACATAGTGGTAGTAGCATTATTCATAAATGTAAAATATCCCTCTTATAGTTTATGAAACTATAAAAGAGATACGTAAATTTTGTGAACAATGTCACTTTTATCGGATGAAGAAATGACCAAAATAAAAGTTGTAGATCTTGATAAGTTCTATAACTTCTATATTCATGACTTTTTCAGCTGAAATCATTTAGTGTTCCAAAATAACGTTTGAAGTTGCCATTTTTAAAATTCAAAATTCAAATAGATAAAACATAGTCACATAAAAAGATGGATAAAATAATAGCTGTAAGAACACAATAAATTGATAAAGAATTATTTTAGAATTTTTTAGGAAAAGAAATCATCAAATTTGAAGTTAGGATGAGGGAGAAAGACTAGTTATAAGTTTTAGCTAGAGATTAAAAAGAGAAATCAGAGTTCTTCAATAATTTTAAAATTTAATTTTAAATAGAATTTTGAAGTAGTAAATGATTTCAAATGAAAAAGTTGTCAACTACAAAATTGCATAACTTTTTGAGATCTAAAACTTTTGTTTTGGACGTTTCTCCATCCGAGGTCGTTTGAAAAATTCAAATTTTTAATTTGAGAAATCAAACGTAATTTTTGTTAGATAGATTATTTCAAATAAAAATATTTGGACATCTAAACGATCTTAAATTAAAGAAGTTTAAACTACAAAGTTGTAGATCTCATCGAGTAATATAACTTTGATATAAAGTTTGTCTTAATCGGATATCATATAAGAAACTTATGAAGTTTTCTTGCAACATATCATGATCGGTTCTAAACCACGAACCGACAACGATAATATCAGTGTCGGTTCTTGGCTAAAACCGGCAGTGATGACTCAATATCATTGTCTTTTTTGGCTAAAACCGACAATGATATGAACCGACAGTGAAGACCCGAATATCAGTGTCGGTTGATCCTATTACTATCGGTTTTTGCCAAAAACCGGCAGTGATGGACTATCACTGTCGGTTTCTTAAAATCCGACAGTGATGAGATCGGCAGTGATATCCAATTCTGTAGTAGTGGGGTATAAGTGTCTTTTGTATTCTCCATATACCCTTACTTCATTCTTTAATCAGACGTTATATATCATCAACATATTAATGAGATTGGTTGGTAAATGATAAATATATAAGAGCCTTCTTATATACTCTTACGTACATACAAGATGTCTTCTTATTTATCATGAGCGTGTGCCTCTAAGATCCTTCTTATACATATACACGTGTTTGTGGTATACTTCATAGCCAGTCATAAAATAACTTATTCTATGATCATTTTGAGTTCATAGTTGGTCATAAAATAACTTATTCTATGGTCATATATTTTGATTTTATCATAACGATTATACTAGTTTGGAAGATTACACACATTGCTATCAATTTGTATATAAAAATATATATATGTATATAAAGTACCTCCTAACACCTTATATGTTTCTAACATTTTTTATTGGATAAACAACATCATCAGACTGGGAACCATGAACACCATGATCAGGTAACAAAACAAAGCTCAGACCCATATACCCAGGAACCAGAATCACAGTTTTGTAGTCGACAGGTGAACCTTACATAATTTATTTTTTCACCAGATTCATCCAACGGCAGCACGTTGCCTTTTCCCACCGCCTAAAGACAACCAAGCACGGACGGAGTACAGTGGGGGCTAAACTGGGCTCTGGCCCCATTGTCCAAAACAAAATTCTCAAATATAATTTATGGTTACTTATATTTTGTGAAATGTGACCCAACTATAAATATATATAACTAGCTAGTTTTAGTCTATAACTTAGTTAAGAGTAATCTATCGGTCTCTGTAGTCATTTGATATGTGATTAATTAAATTTATCATAGTATATATGGTTTTATTTCTGATGTCAACATATTTTACTTGTTTTTTTATCAAGTTGCCCCCCTTGATTTTGTGCCGTGCTCCGTCGCTGCAACCAAGGAACACATCCAGCAGAAAAGAATAAAAAAAGAGAAGGATGCAGACTACAAGATCCAACACCAGCATCTGTATGATACTCCCAAACTATGTAATATATAATATACATCCTGTAAATATGAACCAGTCATCGTACCTGCACTTTGTAAATCGCAGCCACCTCCTATGGTACACCGTAAACTACCAATGCCAATGCCATATGCCTGCACCTTTGTACTTTAACCATTCTGTAAATATATATCAGTGAAGGTACCTTAACTACACAAATGACCGTGCCTACGACATGTGCATCATACACTCATTATTCTGACCATAGTCCTTTATCCTCGCGCACGAGGGCGCGCGCCCTTTACTAGTTTGCATTGCTACGCATTTGATTAGACACAGGTTACTTTGTCCTGCAAAAGGAAAAAAAAAATGCTGCCTTTGCGTGTTGCATCTCGGTGTTTCTAGACCCTACACACTTGAGTTTTTTCTTTACTTACGTCAATCTACCAAAACTTGTCATTTTATTAAAACACCGTTGTTTTTTAGCAGGACAGCCATTTTGCACACACGCCGCTTTTCTTATTACCCCGGTCATCAATTTATTTAGAATATATAAGTTCACCAAAAATGTTTCAAAAGTCTTTAGAAAATTTGTAGAAAATATGTTTTAAGGAGTCTTCTTAGATAGCTTTGTTTGAATAATTCTCCGTAAAGTAATTTTATGAAAAGTGTTTTATAAATTATTCTAAAAAGCTCTAAAAGTTGCATTGTAAGTGGAAAAAAAATCGAAAAGCAAGTTTGCTAGGAACCTTCCCAGCGCCTACATGGCAACCAGCAGGACCTGTTTATTTTAGATAGCTCAGTTGGTTGAGTTCTTTCCAATGGAACCTATAATCTTGATTTGAGTACTAGACTCATCAATGATGTCCGCGGTTTTCAACTATTTATGCATTTATTTATTTATTTATTAGTGGACATGATATGCCCCTTGATAGCGATACCATCAATCTGAAGACCCGTTAGCCAATATCTCATAGAAATTGATGTGTGTGTACACATGGATGTGTATATGCCCATCTAAAAAGTTAGTATTTTAACCTTCCTCACTCTACCCTTCCTTGCCCTATTGTTTCTATCTCTGCCAATATATATGAACATTTGATTGGCTTTTATCTGAAAGCACTAGAGTATACGTGTTCATTTCAAGAAGAAAAAAAGTGTACCATCTATATATGGACATTTGACTATTTTTTTAGTTGAAAAAAGTGCACTAGAATGTTTCCTTGTTCAATCCAACAAAAAAATGAGCGCCATGGGTTTTTGCCATGTTCCTTACTCAACCTACCATTCACTATCATTTGGATTTAGTGTCTGTTTGGCACAATATATTTCAGATTTTAGACCCATCATGGATTTGTAGTTTGTAAACAAAATTAAAGTGATCTAAATATTTATATTTATACTCTCAATTATACACAAAATTATTCATCTAAATACTCTTGACTTACCCCA